ACAAAATTTAATATAAAATTTTTAATTTAACATTTGAATTTTCAAAAAATTAATTAAAATATAAATTTAAAAAAGGCCTTATAATATTAGTCTCAAAAGTTTAAGTGCTAAACAATTAATTTTTATCAAAACTTACTCTAAATTTTGAATCATAAATCTAATATATAAAATAATACATTTTCAGTAATGAAATTTTGAAGTTAGGGCCGGCCTAAATGAGTGTAGTTTTCAAATTGTTTATGATGATGACACATTCGACCTCGCCTGGGAGGAAACTCAACTGGTTACGTAGAAGCTTACCTTCTATAAAGCAGATAACTTTACCCTTTGAAACAAGCACATTAGTTGCTTTGGGACGAAGGAAATTTCCGGTTAACTACCACAATAAGCCACGGCTTTGCTTTATTATTTTTAAAATTGAAAACAAAATAGGACCTTTCAACTTTTTTTTTTTGCTTTCCAGATTTGTCCATGCTATAGTTTAAATATTAATAGATTGAGCAAGGGTATAATGCTCATATCCACATGTCGGCCATTGCTATCTAGAACGCATGAGAAAAATGTTAAAAAGTTCAAACTTGAATTCTCATGCATAAAATGGTGGAAGTCAGGAGAGGATGGTGGAAGTCAGGAGAGGATGGTGGAAGTCAGGAGAGGAAGAAAATTATGTAGAAAATTGATTCTTCAATAATAAAGGAAACCATTAACCATGAAATTTACAGTCCTTCAATGCAAGGTCGAGAGAATTTAGTGGGCGAATTGCTAATTTTAATCTCTGACATTCACAAAAATGCAATCTAGAGGACAAAAATAAGATGGAGCAAAATTTTTTGATTGAACTGGCGCATGCAAGGAATGGGAGAAAGAGAATAGTACTTTAGTTATTTTCTTTCTCCATTCCTTGTTGGGTTTGAGGTGGCTCAGGCTGGGGCGCCGAGTATGTCACCAGAGATGTGTTATGGGAAGTATAATCAGAAGGCTTGGATAAGAGTGAAGAGTAAGGATTGTGATTATGGGGGAAAGGTTGTTGGAGGAGGAAGGAAGATGTTGGCAAGCTCTTCGTTCAATTTTACTGGAAGTTGTGGCATCTGCCTCATAAAGTCGGACGGCTCATTCATGCTGGAAATAGAAATAAGAAGAAACATGTCAGTACTTTTCTGATATGGAAACGATAATTGAAATTATACCATAATCAGTAAAATTTTATAGAATGAAACACTCTGTAGTACTCTCCAAATTTAAAGTGCATGCAGCTAATATCTCGTAGGTGCTTCAAATTTTCTTTTAAACCTCGCTTTTTTTAACTCTGGAATGCATTGGTGAATGTATATGGCATCACAGTTTAAATATGGTGAAGGGTTGAAAAATGGGTGTTTTCTACTCGAAAAAGTTTTTAAGCACACAGCAGAATACAATATTAATCATGAAGCACTCAAAGATTTTATTATAAAAAAT